CATGAGCTTGCGTTTACACGGTATTCTCCATAGAGAATTCAAACGTTTTTTCACTGTTTCGATCAGACTGCCATTTTTATTCAATCATGCATGACAATGACAGTTTTGTTGTTTTTATTGTGCGTAAAAACGCATAGTTTATTAGATATAGAAATATATTTATTCAAACCGTTACTGAGTTTATTTTATTGTATGATATCGTAGGTAGTAGCTGCCTGTAGTGTGGTGCGTAAATACTTTCTGGCGGGTCTGTAGCACTCTGATTTTATATTGTAGATCAGCTATCACACTCAAAATCCAATGGTGCAATATGTAGCATACAAGCTGGACATTTTGATCAGACACATGTCGTTTATGTAAGCAACATGCAATATTAAACTAGAAAATAAATGTTCCATATGATAGTTACATAGACCACATGGCTAGGAATCCAGGTTCAATTCCAGTAAAGACAAGACACTCAGTGTTTGGCGTGTTGAGTGGGGTTGAATTAATGATAGACCCTCTACTGGAGGGTCTATGAATTAATACAGCATGTATGCATCCAATTAGCATCGTATGGGGAAGCATATTATTTCCAGACTGGTATTACACTGCTTTTGGTCTTCTACCAGTACAATTAAAAAAACTGACGAAATATTCTGACTTGTACTTTCCATGACTTTACACGAAACAACTTTTCATCGTAAGGAAAATAATATTTCTTCTTCACTGTTGGTTTAGTCTACCACACTTACTCTCGGGAGACGTACGATTGATAACTAAACCCAATGGCGTTTTTTGTATTTATATGTACAGCGGCATTGATGATAGCCGTACGTGAAACTGAAGATATTAGCAATGTTTTTATTAGTAGAAAATTCTGTACATGTAGTTTGTAGGAAATAAATATATTACATGCACACATAATTATTGGCACTGTTTTTTTTTTTCAATTCTTGGTACTTTATGAAAAAATGCAAAAGTAAAAATAATTTCAACTGTGTACATATAACAATTTTGCAAAGTACAGCGGAGCTTACTCGACATTCCATGATCGTTATGTCCCAAGGAAAGAACATTTAGTTTATCAGCATTTTTCTACAAGTTCAATAGGCTTTGCTATTCGTGCATTACTGCATGTTTAGCAGGATCCTTGGGGAGGAATTAACGAATTCTGGAATTTCTTTGAAGTAAGATTATTAGTCCCCGTTCGGACGAAGTCCGAAAACGGGGACTTAGAATTCGGTGTCCGTGCGTCCGTCCGGAGTCGTATCTCAGAGTCCCTTGGACCGATTCCGTTCATTCTTTGCATGTGCCTAGTACTTTATGTGGGACATATGCACATGCAGTGGTTTAGCGATTCATTCAAAATGGCCTACTGGCAGCCATCTTGTTTTTTTTGAAAATGTTGTATTTTGGACATGCTTTGTCAGTTTTCATTCAAACTTGGTACATAGATTATACATGTTAGGATACATGTCCATGATGATTTATTTCACAATTGGATCAAAGATGGCCGACTGGCAGCCATCTTGTTTTTTGAAAATGTCGTATTTTGGACATGCTTTGTCAGTTTTCATTCAAATTTAGTACATAGATCATACATGTTAGGATACATGTCCATGATGGATCAAAGATGGTCGACTGGCAGGCATCTTGTTTTTGTTTATTTTATGCGGTATCTTGGACGTGCTCTGTCAGTTTTCATTCAAATTTGGCACATACATGTACTTTATACATGTTAGGATGCATATCCATGACAATTTGTTTCAAAATCTGGTCAAGGATGGCCAATTGACAGCCATCTTTTTGGCCTTACTACTATATTTCCACAATTTATGTACCATTTTCATTCATATTTGGTACATACAGTACATCATACATATCAGTGTGTTTCATAATCAGATCAAAGATGGCTGAATAACGGCTGTTTTTATTTTGGCCATACTACTATGACACGAAACACGTGTTTTGATGTAAATAAACAATCTGTTGTATACGCCACTTGGCACTCAAGTTTCAAGGACATGCTCGCGACAACCCCTCCGCTTTAATATGACGAGCACAAAGAGAACTTAACGGGGACTGTGTCATTTTCAATGACTTGTTTAAAGATGTTACGCTCCGGTTATTCAAAAACAATCCCTCTCTGAGTGAGCCTGCACGCATTCAAACCTTAAAATGGTCATGCAAATGAGCAGCCATTAGGAACTCAAAAGTTCGTAATTGCTTTGATACTTGTGTACAAACAATGTCAAATTTGTTCATTTCATCTTTAATTCTCTATTTTTGGCATGTGTTTGTCCTGCAGACTTTGTGAACTTCATAACTCACAAGATTGTGTAATGCTATTGTATTCTATTATTTATTTATTTTCTAGTACGCTCATTTGGAACAGAAGACAGACCAACAGATCGACCTGTAGCTCCAAGGGACGAAGTGTTTGAATACATTATCTTCCGCGGTGCAGATATCAAAGATCTCCATGTGTGTGAACCTCCTAAACCCTCGGCTCCTCTCCCGCCACAGGACCCAGCTATTGTGCAGGTATCGTCATTGCACTCAGATATGCTGTAACACTGTAGTTTAAGTCCTCATGTGTTTTTAACTCCTGATTGAGTCTTAACAGGGGTTTATTATTTGGATTCCATCTGTCCATCTATTTCCGACATGCACAATGCACAGACATGAGGCAGATGCACATGCTACAGGGTTTTTAGCGCCGAGGTCCGCGGCGCTATACCTGTGAATCTCGGCGCTTCACTTGGGACCTCGGCGCTATGTGTTCCCACCTCGGCGCTTGATTTCATATTTGACATGCCAATATCAGATGTGAAAAATCTTTGTTCGCCACCTCGGTCGGCCCCGACCGTCACTCAAATTAGTGACCACCACGGAAATGCTTCCGACGAGGACTATTGTCTGATTGTTAGTATAATTACGTACCGACCGACACGCATCCTGTCAGT